CTCGGCGCGGCCCTCGCGGCCGGGCCGGGCCGGGCCGGAGCGTGCGGGAGCTGCGGGGCCCGGAGGTCTCGGCCGGGCGAGGCGGGAAGGCGCTTCTTCGCAGGCCTGGGCCGCGGCCGGGCGTTTGAGGCCGGGCGTGGGACGAGGCCAGCGCTCCCGCTCACGGGCCGAGCGGCCGAGTCCGAGGGAAAGCGGCGCCCGCGAGTCCCCGTCGCGGGCGGGCTCCTTCCCGCGCTTGCGGGGCGCACGAAGCCCGGACGGGGCCGCGTCTGCCGGGGGGCCGCTCGCCTCTGTCCGGGAGGCCCTCGGTCCGGGCCGCGACTGGGAAAGCGGGGCTGGAGGGCAGTGCGAGGGATCAGGAGCAGCGGCTGCCGGCGGGGCCGTTGCGCTTAGAGGAGCGGCGAGGGAGACGAGGCGGAGGGGTTCAGAGTAATGCGTGGCGTGGCAGGAGGAGTGAGGAAGTGCCTGCCGCCCTCCCGGAACCCTCGAGGCTGCGGTCGTCCCACGAAGCCGGTGGGTGGGTTGGCGGTTTGGGCCACGTAAAGGGAAGGCCGCCGTCGCACAGCGTGCAGCTAAGCTGTGGGTTTGGCTGCCGTGGTAAGTGGTGAGGGCCGCCGATCGGGTGGCTTTAAAAGGGGGGTGGGCAGATTCGTGGAGGAGGAGGAGGGTGAGTGTGTCGGGGGCTCCTAGCCTTGCTGGCGAGTGCTGCCTCATTGACCAGTGATGGTGTTCCTGTGTGCACCAGTTGCTGAGGTGCCGGGGCAGGAGGCGGTCCGGCACCCATCCTGCTGGAGGGATCCTGCGGGCAGCTGGTTTGCCACCTGGTGGACAGGGTGCTGGTCTGATCCGGCATGGCTTTTCTTATGCTCTTAGTCATCTTTATTTGCTGTTTGTCCCCCACCTTTGCGCCAAAGCACCGTGCTCGGGTCTTGGCAGGTTGCACAGGCATCTCAGGTGCAAATGCATATACATATATGTTTAACATGCTGAGGGTGCTGCCTTTGCTGCAAGCAATAAGGCATTATAAAGGGTATTACAAGGACATATACTAATCAAATAATAAAACCAACAACAAACTCCACTAGCTAAAATACAGCTTTGAGTTAAGATGGGGCTCAGATCATCCAGACCCTGAGCCAAGGAAAAGTTCATTTCCAACCTAGACTAGGAGGATGTTGCAAGGCCCCCGAGTCACTGCAATAAAGTTTTCAGCCGTGTTCTCAACCACGTGATGAGGTTATACGGAGCGGCCTCTCAGCACCGAAAAGTGCCATCGGTTTCTTGGGTGTGTGTCACAGGGTTCGTTCCTTTGCCGTATGTGGTCTAGTCACAATCTGAGCAGTTGCCTATAACGGTGCGTACACGTGGGACTCCCGTGCAGTGCGGAGCATCATGCCAGCTGCTTGGGCAAGCCTTGAAATGCGCCCAAAGATGATAACGCTCTTTTGTGGAGCAGAAGGCCATCAGCAGGTGCCGGTCGTGATGGCTGGGAGTATCTCTGAGTGCCGTTTGGTGGGGAGCGTGAGTAGAAGCCGTGTGAGGCCTCTGATTGGCCACTGGTGGCACAGGTTGTTGGGCTAGATAAGGTGCTGGTCTGATCCAGCGTGCTCCCCCCCCCCCCCGTGCCCCATAGTGCTCCTGCCTTGCTCTGCTTCGATAGTGCAGATCTGGAACCTCTGACTGTCCACATTTTTTTGTGGCTGTTACCTCTTTTGGGTCTGTTGTACAAATGCTTTCAAGGCCGAACGGAGCACTTTGCTCTTTGATACCTCCTGAGCCCTTTGCGGGTGGTTGAAGCTGAGTGAAGCAAAGGTGCATGTATCCCCGGTCCACCGAATGCCGTAAAGATCTTTGTGTGTCGGGTGTGAAGTTCTGAAGAGGCCGTTCACCCAAATATACTTACGAAAGCTATACTGCTGACAAAGCCCACTCAAATGACCCATGCCACAGATGTGCTTTGGCCTCTGATTTAAGCAACAGGTTTTTAGATCTGTTCAGGACAAGATCTTGTGAAGTCTGACCATTTTCCCACCCTCCCCAAGGCCAGCCAGTTGTAACAAGTCGGCTCACCTTGCCAGATTGGTAGGATGGTTCAAGCTTGCTGGATTTTTCCGCACTTTCTCATCGATGCTGATCTAGAGTTGGGCAGAGAATGTTTCGCTTTTTTCTGAAAAGATTGTTTCCCATGCAGGGAACTAAGATAAGTTGATTGGCCTGGTTCTGGGCCTGCTCCAGTTGATCGTCATTTAGTTAGCACCTTGATTACAGGTTGTTAATTGGTACCAACTTGCTCAGAAGCTGTGTGGGAGGATGCCCACATCAAGGTCTAGCACTCAGTTCCCATACCTTGATTAAAGTGCGTAGACAATGTTTCCCTTTGGCCCTGCCAAGTTGGGGATCCCCATGGAAGTGATGCATGACCCTCAGGCATGGGACAGAATCGGAGGGGGTTTGCAGCTCCCCGATTGCAGGCTGAAGCAGGGCTGCCTTTCTCTTGGGGTTCAGTTTGCTAAGAAGGCTGCAGTGCCAGTGAAGGCTTGGAGTTTATTCTCTCTGAGGCAGGCTCAGCCCAAAACATTTTTTTTTATCAAACAGCTGTTGGAATTTGCTCGGCCAAGAACTCTGGGAGCATTCACATTGCCTTGCCGAGGGAGCCTGTAGGAGATCGGCTCTGGAAGCAGCTGTGCCCGTTGCTTAATTCTGGGTGATTGTTCCCTCTTCTTGGCTGACCATCGAAGAGCAGCGTGAGTGGTGATTCTGTGCTTCAGAAGATACATGGGTGCTGTCGGCATAGTGGTGAAGCTGACTGCTGAGGAGAGCTGTGCAGGCCTGGGTGTGCGGCTGCCTTCGGCAGGAAGATGAGCAATCTGAGCAGAAGGAAAGACCGCTTCTCTCCCAGTCAGAAGCATCCCTCTTCGAGGGCTGGGATTACCTGCATGGCTGACAAATGTGGTTTTGTGCTTTACTTTCCTGGCAACTTGCTCCAATAGGGTTCTTTGAAGGGTTTCGGCCCATTCAGTTTGATGTGTGCATAAGCTGGGTGACGGCTTCCTGAATTGCTGTGCTCAGCATTAATCAGCCCTGGCGAATGGCTGATGAGTTCCAGACTTGTTTTCTAGACTGCCACTCTTTCGTGATAGTGGTGAACGCAGAGGGAAGTGCCATGTGGCTGATGCAGTCAGAGCTGTTGATAGTGTACAAAGGAAGGAAGGAAGGGTAGGGTGGCCAGAGTGAAGGAGCTGGGGTGGGGGAGTGCCAGAGCAGGACGCGAGAGATCAGGGTTTTTGTTCCCATTTGGCCACAAACCTCACTGAGCAGCTTTGGGCCAGTTACTGACTCTCAAGGTAAGCCACCTCACAGGGTTGTTGTGAAGATAAAATGGAGATGAGCTGAGCTCTGGAAGCCACCTTGGATGGCTTGCAAGTAGAGGAAAGGTGAGATATAAATGTTGTGAAATAAATAAAATAAAACACGAAAGCTCTGATGATGCAGAGGATAGATCTTACACAAAGCTGTAAAGGTGTAGGTATGTTTTTGGGACATGAAGCAAATTCAAATAATTTACTTCTAGTACGTTGTTTATACCCTGATTCTGGCTGCTGTGGCATTTTCCATCTCCCTCACTCCTCTTAATTCTGATTGCTGTGATTTAAGATGTGAGCATTGAACTTTTAACATGTCAGACTTTTAACTGGTATGGCCTAGGTAAAATGACTTGGTACCATGCACGTATGTTCCCTGGCGAAGAATTAGTTCTGTCCGCCTTTGGATGCTTCTGGTGTGTGCTTGTTTGGACAAGCTTCTTTCTCTATTCCAAAGCTGCAGATGCACACCTTGAAAGAAACCGCTTGTGCCTCAGACACATTCTGTGGGATCAGGAGGCTGGGATTTGGTCCTCAGCTTTGGCCTTGCTACCAGCAAAAAGAAGCACAGCAAGTGTTTACACTACACACCCATTAATGAGAACAGCCTAGTTGAAAGATAGTCAGATGATTTGGGTCTGACGCTTTGGCCTGTCTCCCAGTTTCAGCGTCTCATACTTGGAGAGACTTGGGCAGATCCCTTTCATTTGGCCTTGGGGTGATGGAATTGAGTGGTTCCAGGTACCTTTATTTTGGGAATTCTGAGGATCAGTATGAACAACGTTTTCTGCTTCAACAGGCTACTTCCTAACAGGACGGCGAGTGTCAGTCGCTATGCAGAGTCCAGATCATAAGGACAGCAGCAGCAACTTGAAAAACGAGGACATGGGCAAGGACACAGAAGCCAAGAATGAGCAGCCGGCTGATTTCAGTACAGAGATCATGAGTGTCACGGAGATGGAGCAATCCCCCGCCAACTCTCCAGAGGCGAACACCCAGGAAGAAACTGCTCAGGACACGGAAATCCCAGACTCTGAAGTGCTCAAGACAGCCGATCCTGAGCCTTCCTTCCCTTCTGAATTTGACAAGTTCTGGAAGGTTGTTGAAACCAACCCTCAGGATTTCACAGGCTGGGTCTATCTCCTGCAGTATGTGGAGCAAGAAGTGAGTCATTTGAAACAGTAATTTGAAATAGAGGGCATATCAAGCATACAGTCAGAATAATGGTTCATTTTCTGCCTTTGAATGCAGGTTGAAATGGAAAGCTCTTGTAACATCTCTGGATGATAGACTTATCCCGAGAGGGAGAGGGAGAGAGATCCGAGCTTTGACGCCAGCACAGTAAAGGTCCCTTTGGGCGTTCTGGCTCCTGTAATTGGCCACAGGGAAGACACAGCTAGAAGGCCACCTGCAGCAGGTGGTCTGCCCCAGGTGCTGCCTCGCTTGTCGGGGTGCGGTGGGATGGTCCTGCCGTTCCGCCTTGTCCTGTTCGTTGAACCGTTTGCGGAAGCGTGACCTTACGGACGGGAGGGCCGGTGGCTGTGGGGGCGGCAGGTTCAGCAAGTGGTCTGTCAAGTGCAGGCCATTACCGTGAAGCTCAGTTGGGTCAGACATGGCCTCAGAATAGACAAGGCCCAGCGTGTTCAGTGCTTTGCACATTTGTTGCCTGGTTTGCAAAAGCACCTTTTGTGGTGCCGGCTAAATTACAAGAACCTGGAATGCTCTGTAAGCTTGTTCTTGGCTACCCAGATCCATCAGAAGGGCTACACAGATATGCCGAGTTGCTCCGACATGAATTTATTTTCATGCCTATTGGGTTCTTCTGGCTTTCTGTGTCACCCCATGTATGTGAATGCAAGATGGCAAACAAGCCTAAGTGGGACTTAGGTTTTAAAATAGCGTGGTTGTAGCATCCCCTGGAGCGTGTCCAGTTGCTGAAGCTTAAAGGGGATGATAGAAATGCAGCTTTGAGCCTAGATGAGAATAAGCTGAGGCAAATGTGCCTCCGTGGGACTCATCCAGTTAGCAGGGCCTTCAGAGGAATGGCAGAGGTGGGCCAAATTCAAAACTGTTCTTGGCCCTTAAATGGTTTGAGGTTATTCTGCTCCCAGACCTGTCGGTGTTTTTTATATTATTATTATCATCATCATCATCATTATTACATTTCTATGCTGCCCCTTGCCGAAGCCTCGGGGCGGCTTACAACACAATAAAATACATTGAAATACAATAGAACATAATAAATTACCATTAAATACAAAAATACAGCAAAAATTTTGCTGCTTGCTTAAACATCCTTTGTATTTATTGGTTTTTTTAAACACTAATTTTCAGAATGTGGGATGTAGAAGTTGTTAGGGAAGCCGGGCTCCTCGGGGCTTTCCTCCTTGGGCCAAGTGGCTGTGTCGCTCCGGCAGTCTGTTCACTCTTTTCAGTAGTGGAGCTTTGCCCTCTGCCCTTCCACTTGGCCAGTTGTAGAAGCCTTTTGTTCTACCATTCTTCTGTGTCAGAGGCCATAAGTGGATGCAATTGGCTTTATAACCTCTCCCACCTCAAGGAAGTTTATATTGATCCCTAGAGTCATGAAATGATGTCTTTTCATTTAAGTTTATATCCCGTAGAAATTTATATTTCTTTGTGTGGTGCTTAGAACAGCTTGAAGTAAAAGAACAAAAATTAGGCACTTAATGCAAAATACTGTTTTGGAAAAAAAGTTCCCTGTATGAATTTAAATGCACCCCTTGAATCCCCATTGAAGAATGTGGTTTTGCAGTGCGGGCCAAGGTTTTGAACTTTAGAGGAGGAGTGTCCCAGGACACTTGGGGGCCAGTAACTGAGAATGCCCATATCAGGCTTGGCACCTGGTTGACATAGTGTGAAGGTTTTGGGGGAATTCGAACCTATTCGAAAGTTAATTGGTGCGTGGGGTCTTCTCTTCCATTTGGCTTGTGCTTGGATCAGGAGTGGCCAGGCAAATGGTCCTTCTCCGGTCTTTCAGGGGAATTGTCATTATTTTGGGCCCTGGTCTCCAGGCAACTCAATTTCTGGCGGCGCATGTGAAACCCCTTCAGATGTGCTTTAAAATGCCTGCCCTGCGGGCCGATTTCAGGGTAGAGATGCCTGGGTGGTCTTTCTTCCACTGGCCATTTGCAGAGTGAAACATTACTGAAACCAGCCGTGTCCCCCCCCCCCCCCCCAGAACCACCTACCAGCGGCCAGGAAAGCCTTCGACAGCTTTTTCACGCATTACCCGTATTGCTACGGCTATTGGAAGAAGTACGCAGATCTCGAGAAGCGGCACGGCAACATGAAGCAGTCCGACGAGGTACGTGCACCGTGTGCGGCAGTGGCGGCGGCCGCTGCTGCTGCTGGACTCTGAGCCAGGCGAGGACCCACCCCGCCAAGATGTCTGGCCGCCCGCGCCCGCCGCTTTCTGGCCGCACCAGTGGTCTGTCTGCGTGCGCCACGCCTCGTGGCCTCCGGCGCGAGCGTCCTCCCCCCCGCTGGCACCTTGTGCACTGACCCCCCGCGGCACCTCGTCGGGCTCTGCAGCGCACACGTCCGCCTTGCACGGCGACCCACCCAGCAGGCCGGGCCCTTCTGCCGCGTGCGCTGTGCCCTCCTGGTCCTCGCACAGAAGTCAAGCGCTGCGGTTGGTTTTGCTGGTCACCATTGCTACGTCTTGTTGCATTTCTGGTCAGACGCTGTCACTGGTGCTCTGAGGGGCCCATGCCCTGTGTCTGTGCCCCAAAGCCTGCCCACAGCCCGGTCAGCTGCAGGGACCGCTGCGCTTTGAAGACCGAGACGCTGCACGTGGAGACCAGAGCATTGCCATGTTCTAGCCACCTCCACCCAAATGGTAACGGTAGATCATTTAAACAAAATTCCAGTACTTCAGCATTTCTTAAGGTTCACCGGATAACAGTGTTGCCGCTCTCTTGCAGCTTAATTGAGTGTTTGAAGAATAGCTTTTTGGCATTCTCTTCATAGGTGTATCGGCGAGGACTGCAGGCAATACCTCTCAGCGTCGATCTCTGGATCCATTACATAAACTTCCTCAAAGAGACACTGGATGCCAGTGACCCTGAGACTGTTGGGACCATTAGGGGGTAAGTTGGGTGAAGAAAGGAAAGCGGCATGCGCGGGCCGCGTGCTGGAATCCGTTTGGCCAGGGGCAGAATCCTTGCCGAGTGGCCGCCTACTGCCGCCTTCTCTGGTGCGTGCCGGGGGATCACGCCGTCCTGCGCAGACCTCCGGCCCTGGGAGGCCTGGGGATGGAATCCAGGCAGCCCGGGCACAGCGGGTGGACTTGAGTCTCATGCATCGTCACGTTCTGAGGACACGGGGGCCTGCCTTCATTGGATTTTACTCGTATGCTATTAAAATAAGGACAGCCAGGTCTTAACCTGTTGGCCTCCAGATGTTTTTGGCCTGCAGTTCCATCTTCCTGACCATTGGTCATGTGGGTTGGGCCTGATGGGTCTTGCAGGCCAGAACCTCTGGGTGCCCACAGACTGGGGAAGGCTGAACTAAAATTTTAAATTTCCCCACCCCCAGTGTCATAGAACAATTAAGCGCTAGCTCTCTGAATGCATTCCCTGTTATTTTAAAAAGAGGCAGCGTACGAGTGAAAGACACAACTTTGCGGTGTGTCTTACTTAGGGTGGATTTGATTTAAATCACAATTTAAATCACTAGTCAGTAAGACTAGATTTAAATCAAGGTTTTCTACATAAAGACTTGTTCCTGCTGGTATAATCTTAAGATTTACAACCAGGTGAAGGTTTCATTTTAGAATAACAATTAAGGTTAATCATTGTTTCAACAACATTTCTGCTATACTTTATTGGAAGAAGAAAAATAATAATTATTGTAGTAATAGTTTTAAATAGTTTTATTTAACTAAACAATAACATTATAGTGTATGTGTTCTTGTCTTTGCTTAACCATCCATGTTTATTAACTGATGTGGCTGAACAAAATTTCTTAAATTTTTTAAAAAAAACCTATCAGTCCCCATTCACACTTGAAAAATTTAAAAATACCATCCTTGGTATTTTTGCTGTGAAGAAGAGGCATGTGATCTCTGCAGACACAAATTCACAGTTTTGGGAACTGTAAAACCAAGCACCTGTGATGTTATCTTCTAGAATCTAGACAGAAAAAGTGCCCAATAATCTTACAGAAACCTCTGGAAGGGATGACACTATGAATGGATTAATGGAATTCATTTACCAGAAAATAAATACATTGCATGAATATATAGCCTCATGCTACATAATTAAAAATGAGACCTTATTTCATGATGAATATGTTACACTTAATGTATCTTAAAAGAAAACTAGATTTTCCTCAAAAATGTTTTATTTGAAAGATACAGTACTCTGATTTTTATCTTTTATTTTTTTAAAGCTTCTATTTAGTTCTTTCGTTTTGTGTGGGAGAACATCGTCCTGGGGAAATCTGCCCATTAACGCCTCCCTGTTTCCCCACCCTCCCCGCAGGACTTACGAACATGCTGTCTTAGCTGCAGGAACAGATTTCCGTTCAGACAAACTCTGGGAAATGTATATAAACTGGGAGAGCGAGGAAGGCAGCCTGAGAGCAGTGACGGCAGTCTTTGACCGCATCCTTGGGATCCCAACGCAGCTGTACAGCCATCACTTCCAAAGGTACCAGGGAGGGGGCAGGCGCCGTGCTGCCTCGGCTGGCCTGCTCCGTTTTGAAACTTGCTGCGTCGGCGAACCACATTCTCCCGGGCGGTTGTAGTCCAAAGAGGATGTGGGAGGCATTGCACCTGAGCATGTGTGCTGTTGAATGTGGGTGCTCGTTGGAAGCATTTTAGTGGCAAAGACTCACCAGGGAAAATAAATTGCAGGCTGCATTGCAGCAATTCTAGATTGCAGTAGTCCAGTTTTGCACAATAACTGAACTGCGGGAAATTTCTAGCATGCTATCCCAGGACAGCAAATCCTGAATACTCCTGAATTTCTCTCCTGGAAATCAGATTGCATAGTGTCCCTTGGTCGCTTTTTCCAGGACTGAACTGGTCTTGGTTCTGGAGGCATTTCTGTAAGAGCAGTGTTGTTTCGCCGGGTGGTGCATTCCCCAGCCAGCTAAAGTATTGACGGATCCCTCTTCAAATGAGTTCGTGCATTACTGGAAAAACACCGCAGCCTCTTCCACTCGCAGAGAAATATCTCTGCGACTGTAAGTGCGGCTCATCTGAGAGTGTGGCTTTGTGCGCCTGCAGAGAATCAGAGCTGTCCTTTGGGCACACCTGGGGGGACCAGGAGGGCTGGCCGGGAGTTGCGTCCACCTTCTTCCACCTGTCACAGGAACAGGCACTTCTGCTGGAATAGATCCCCTCGGGCCCACCAGATCTGCTCCTGAGATCTGATGGGCCTTCTGTAGCAGATTTAAGGGCGATTCCTGGTATCAAGGACGCCTGAGTGCATCTCACTTTATCTTCATTGATAACTTTTCTATACTACCCAGTAGTCAAAGCAGCCTGAGGGGTTTGTAGATATAAAAACATGAAAATACACACTTTAAATACAACATTAAATATAAATACAGTGGAGCTGCCTGCAAGGCAGAAACCAGAGTAATCCTTAAAAATGCAGGTGTTAACACACATTTAAGGTGTCTTTCTGAAGGCCAAACATTTATCATCATCCACTTTATATTTCATGCTCGTGTTTGTCCCTTATAATGTGATTTTGAAGAAGGGCTGCAAGAAGGAACTGAGGGGGCATCCATGTGAAACAGGCAGGTGCACTGGGAAAGCATGAGATCTCGCTCCCTTCAAAAAGAAGCAGACTGCTTTGGCTGTTTTGATGCCCAGTTGATGTGGGAAAGCTCAATGCTTTTCATAATTCTGAAAGATGGAACGGAAAGTCCTCTGCTTGCTTAGTTTATGAAGGATGTGAAAATGCTCGGATGTTTCCTGAGGCAGCTTCTATGAAAAGCACTCTTGTCCCGCTTCCTCTGAGAACCGTTCCTCAGTTGTGCATTGGCTTAGAAAGGCTAATATGTTACACCCCAGCTCGTGAGCCAGCGCACAGCGACCGGTTTTCTTCACAGCTTTTGTTCGGTGAACCTTTCGCTCCCTCCCTTCAGTCTAGTACTTGCGGCTCCTCCTGGACGTGTAAGGTTGCTGTAGCCCCTCACAGTAAGCGCGATGCGATGCGATGATGCGATGTGTGTGCCGTGCAGGTTCAAAGAGCACGTCCAGAATAATCTGCCCCGGGACATCCTGACTACGGAGCAGTTCGTGCAGCTGCGCAGAGAGCTGGCTGCTTCTGCCAATAGCCACAGTGGGGAGGACGCGCCCCCTGGAGACGACCTCCCGTCTGGCTCCGAAGAGATCTCGGACCCCGCTAAGGTAACTGGGCGGTGCTTCTGGAGACAGGCGACCTCAGTGGGGGCAGAGGCGGGTTAGGTCCAGGAGCTGACCTCTCCGGGCCGACTCACACTTTCCCACGTGACACGTTTAACCCATTGTCACAGGACTTTGAGCAGCTTTTGTTAAAATACGGAGCCTCCACTGTGGGCCTCCTTTCTGTAAATTCTGTAATGTGGCTGCATTTGGCATCAGTGCCCTAAAGCTTGTGCACGCCATGGTGTCACACGTGTTTCTGGCAGTCCCTCTCCTGCCCCATGCAGCGCTGAGCATCTTTGAGCAGTAGCCTGTCCCACCTCTGAGTTGACCTGCCCCGAGGGAAGAACTGGGCGGGGGGTGGCTTGCAGGGCCTCGCTGCTTCGTGGCTCTGCACATGCCTGTGGGGCAGGACAGGGCCTCTGCAGGGGGAGGCTGGTAGTGCAGCCAATGGAGTTACAGCCCCGGCTGCCCCTTGGCCGTGCAGCTGCCTGTAGCCCCTGGCCTGCCTCCCAGCTGCACTGGGGAAGGGGGCTGGTTTGCTGTTTGGGACTGCCAGTGGGGAGGAAGGAAGGCTGGCTGGCTGGCGCGAGCTGGTTTGCATCAAGGCACCCCGCTCATTCTTGTGAGCGGAATTGTGATCGTTTGATAGAAATGGGGTGTCTTTTGAGCCCCAGCTTCCGTTAGATAGTGAGGAGGCTGGTCACCCCTAATATTTGGGGTGGCAGACACGCAGCTGACTTGCGAACAGAGGGATGAGTACTGTGACGTGCATCGCCATTCCTGGTTGAGTCAGTTCACAGGCAGCGGTCAGTCAGGCACCGTGCTGTTAAATTCAAGTGGCAGCAGCTTTTTGGCGTTCTTGGCAAGAGGGCATAAGAACATCAGCAAAGCCTGGTGCTGACCCAGAGCAAGGTCCAGGTAGTGCAGCACCTTGCTCCCACGGCGACCTGCCCGTTCGGAACCCAGGCCTGAGCACTCCTGTGCCCTCCCAGTTAAGTTCCACAGCGTCTGACACGAGAGGCACCGAGCCTCTCGCAGGCCCTTCCCTGCCCCATGACCGTCTGTGGGTGCACATACAGATCTGGAGCTGGCCGTTGGTGCATGCCGTCCAGGTGCTCTTCCCTTGCCTGGCGTACCTGTTCTTCACCCCACTGTGGCCGGAAGGCAGCTAAATAAATGTTCTGAACATGAACGTGGGAATAGATAGCCAGCGAAGCTTGGACTCAAGTGTGTCACGGTGCACAGGCCACCGGGAGCGCTCCTTGGGCCCTCTCGCTGAACGCATGGGCTTCGGAAGGTCGCAGGGTCTGCTGGAATTCAGGCTGCCTGGATTTCGTTAAGATGCTTTCCTTTTGTGTGTCTTCAGCTGATCACTGAAATAGAAAACATGCGGCATCGGATCATTGAGATTCACCAAGAAATGTTCAATCATAACGAGCACGAAGTCAGCAAGAGGTGGACCTTTGAAGAAGGCGTAAGTTCATTTGCATATGCTGCTTGGACGAGTTAATAGAGGCTGGCCTTCAGCTTTATGTGGAAGGTCAAAGGATGCGTGAGTTTTTTGCGCATGGCGCGCACGGCCCCTGTAGGCCAGGCCAGGCCACGCCGACGGCTGCCTGCAGTTAGGCTGAAAGCCACTCTCCTTTCTCCTCCCTTCTGAAAGCGCACAGTTGGGGTGCGTGTGTCAGGAATTCGGTGGCAGTGCTCGCCGAGCTTGTCTCGCCCTTGGGCTTCGGAGTCGTAAAATGGCTCCGCGCTTGCCTGTGAACTATCTGGAGCACAGAGCTTTAGTGCAGGTGTAATGCCTACCACCACTTCTAAAGCCACCCTTGTGAAATAGTCGTGCTCTCACGACACTGACTTCTCGAGGAATCGAACGAGTTGCTCTAGCTTTGGGCTGCCTTTGGGGAGCACCTGTGTTCATACTAGAGATGCCTGTACCTACAGTAGGTGGACAGTGGGGCAGACCATCTGTGTTTTAAGTCTGGGGCAAGAGGCCCCGCTTTTTCCATTGCTCAGCACATGACCCCATATGAGAATAAAAAATAAAAGCCAGCTATCCGTTTTGGCTCCATAAAATACTTAACAATGCTTGGCTGTGGGCACTTTGCCAGCAGGCCAATCCTGCCATGCGTGAGTGTATCTTTTTTCGCTTTCTTCCCACCAAGTGTAAGGTGGGGATTTGTTGCCCAGTTGTGTTACTTACTTGCCAAGCTTCAGAGTTTAGTTGGCGCTGAAAATAACACAGAAAGTTGCTGAAAGCCGCCTCCATGTCCCCCTGCGTGAGCCCGTCAGTGTTGCAGTCTCTCGCCTTGCTCGCAGAGAGTCTTTGGCTGATTCTGCTGTCTCTGGGTGCAGACAGAAATCCCTTCTTTTGAAAGCATCCGCGTCATCACCTTTCCTGACGCTTGCTTGCCATTAGGAAGGCTATAAAAGAAGGGATCCCTTGCGTGGTGCACATTTAATATGACTGCCAGCCTGCCTGCCTTCGGTTTTCTGGTCGTTTTCTGCAGAGGAGCTGCTGTGCCACCTCTTGGGCGGTGGCCATATCCTCTGTGCTCACATCAGGGATCAAGGGAGCGTGGCACTCCCTTCTCATGCTCTCCCGCTCCGCTGCCCGGGGCACGGGGCGCTCCCCTCGCCGGTGAGAGATCTGTCTGCTTCCTTCTGTGACACATGTCTGACATTGTCAAGATTGCTGTCTTATCTCTCTCTGCTTTGGAAATCCCTGCTTTATTTGCTTTCTTGCCCTCAAGGATGTCTTTTCACTCTATATAGGTGGAGGGCGTGGTGTCGAATCGCTTTAATTGCACAGTTTAAACTGCCTTTGACATTGCCAAGCTGCAAGGGGAATCATGTGCTTTTAATGACAATTGCCCAGGCTTGGCTTTCATGATTCGAGGCGGCTGGGGAGGAGCTGGCGTGCGGCCTTCTCTGACGCATCTCTTTCCCACTGCTTGGAAGCAGCCTCACAAGGCAGCATCGGTTGCCTTCTCCCAACCGACTTTGGGAGGGCTGTTAGTCAGCAGAGTAATTCTTTCAAGAGAATTGTCCTTGAAAACGAATTGGTCAGCCAGTTAGCATAGTCCTTTTGCCCTCCCGCACTTTTTTCCTGGACCCCCACTCCCATCCCCTGAAAATTAAACATCACAACCATTGCCTCCCCTTATGGAGAAGGTCATGAAAGCCTCCGTTTAAACTCAGTCCCAAGAGAGCGGGACTTTCTCGTATTTCAGCAGACCCTAGCCACATGCTCTCCAGTATAAGAGACTAGTTTAGACGCGCTGCCTCCGGATGTCCAAGGTCTTTTCAAACGTTCGCCTTGCTTACGGATGGTTTCTTCTGCACAAGGGCAGGTGTGCGCCTCACCGTTCATAACGTTCTGGGTGGCGTGCTGTCCCACCCTGACTGGCAGTGCTGCAGAGTGTGAAGGGGAAGGGGAGGCCACCGCGGGGCCTGCTCCATGCAGGACTCCCATCCCAGAGTGTCCCTGACGGAGCATTGTCTGCTGCTGTTGTGCCTTCGCTGTGGGAGAGCCCAGCACTTCCCTGTGGTGTTGCTTCCAAGGTCACATGCTCTGACAGTCAGGACGTTTCCCCCTAGGAGCTAGCCGGAATCCGGCTTGCTGTGCCTTCAGCCTGCCCTCTGGGGTGATCGAGACAAGACAATTCCCCCATGAGGCCTCCTCCCTGTGGCAGCCTTTCAAGTCCTCGTGGAGCGCGATCATCTCTCCCCGCAGACGTCAGTGTTCTTCTTGAGGCTAAACATGCCCAGCGCTTTTACTCTCTCCTCACGGGGCTTTGTTTCCACTCCCTGGATCATCTGGATTGCCCTCCGCTGAACTTTGCCCACTTTGTCTGCATCTTCCTTGAAGTGCAGTGCCCAGAACCGCATGCAGTACTCAGGATGGGGCCTGACTAGAGCCGAATCATGCGCTCTGGACGTGATACTTGTCTTACTGCAGCCAGAGCAGGCACTGCCCAAAGGGGTCGGTGGTGGGAGTCTTCTGTCTCCCGGATGTTCGGGCAGAGGGAGACGCAAGGCGTGCCGAGCAGCAGACGGCGCTCGTAACTAGTCCGAGGGCATGCCCGGTGCCGCATAGCGTGTTGGGTCTCGTTGCCCCTCCGCTGCAGGACTGGGGCTGCAGCAGGACCACTCTGGTCCTCAGGTGCGGTTCCTGTCCCGAGTTCCCAAACTGCAAGCAGCCCTGCCGGGTAAAGGCCTAACCCCAGGAGACGGGGCGAGGTTGCCCTCCGGTCTGCTGCACGCCATGCCTGGCGCGTCTGCCCCTTTCAGCAGTGGCACAGTTTGGCAGGCCGTTTGCTAAGGGCCGAAGAACCAGAAGCACGCCCTTGACACAGACGGCTTTCCCCTGCTGCCTCTGGGCTCGAGGCAGAGCTAAAGCGCATGATGTGGCCAGAGCGTGTCTGCAGCCGCCGCCCAGCCACGGAGCGGGGCTGGAGTAGGGTGTGCGCCGGTCCTGCAAAGTTGCCTAACGCGGGTGGGTCCCAAACTGAAGGGAGGCTCTGAAGGGAGATAATTCTGTGCAAGGCGGGTGTGGTACCAAATCCCTTTGTGCTCCTTTCGGTTTCTGCCGCATCAGCACCGGTGAACTAACGCCGTCGCCCTGCATTTGCTGCTTGGCATGACATTCGCAGGTGCCTTAAAGCTAAACTTAAGTGCAGGAATTCTTGGGGAAGCAGACTGTGGCTGTCAGCGTATGGAAAGCTGCTGCAGCCATTTCCCTCTTCCAGTTCACCCTCCCTCGTTCTCCCCCGGTGCCGCCTCACAGCAGTTCTGCGACAGGAAGGTGAGACGGGGCGAAGCGGCAAGCCAGCTGCTGTGCTTTTGCCAGTACTGGCAATCGCGTCTGTGTGGAAGCAGAAGCATTCTTTCCTTCGCAGGGACTTTTAACTGGGGAGGGGTCTCGGTCATGTGAAGTCCAGCACTCCGTGTACTTGCCGGTGCCATGAAATTAAAAGCCTTTCTGCTGCTCTTCAAGCAAGTGCATTAAAAAGGCCAATAGGACTTATCCGAGTGGCCTCTGTTACGTGAACCAAGTTTCCAGAAGCAGTGTGTGCATCTGTTTGGTTGCTATAGCAGTGGGTTGTGGCCCCTGGAGACCTTCTACGCAATCCAGGAGCAACACCCGTACTGTTGGGAATTCAGTGCCCTTGGGTTACCTGCTTTAGACCAGTTGGGCACCTGTGATACTAGTTAATTTCTCTTTGACTCCCTTTCTCATGCCCAGTTCTTTCCAGAAGCAGGGACTGGTGTGAACAGGGCAGAACCATTTTTCTTTGAGAGACAGAAGGCAGGGGCCCAATGCAGCCGGAGTTCAGGGGCATTGCACTCAACTCCCGAATCGCCATTGGGGTGGAAAGCAGGGGTCTTGCTCGCCCCCCTGTTGCGGCATCGACAGCTTTGCTGTTTCACTTGATGTCAAATAGATAATGTTTTGCATCACATTTATAATGTGTGACCTCAGTCCTTGGATGTCTTTCTCCTCTGACTCTTAGCTACACGAATGCAGAATTCATGGTGCTTGACAGGGTGTTATAAATTCCATTTTAAAAATATGAAGTTCATTATTATTGTTTGTATTAAAATCTATTTCATTCCCAAATCATTTTAAAAAGAGAGGTAGTGTGACAGTTCTTTTAAAATTGTAACAATCAGGTGAAAGCTTTTTTTAATCAGCTGGCATTCAGTTTGCTTTCCCTGCTGGAACAGGCCTGGTGAGCAGAGCAGAGCAGGGCTGCTGCTCTTGAGCGGAGCTGTGCGGGTGCACGAGCTGCTCCTCCCGGTGCTGCTGCTCTCTCAGCCTCGAGTTTCTGCGGTCTCCGTTTTCCTGGGCTCCGCCGAAGCCAGAGTAGAAGAGGAGAGATGAGGCCTTCATGGGCCCACCTGGAGGACTGAGCAGAGTTGCCAGCTTTCTGAGCCAGGGCATGTGTTGTTCCAGTGTGGCCACTCGGAGCCCGCTGCTTACAGCTCCGACTGGGCCGTGTGTCCCTGGAGAAGAGCCCTGCTGCGTGCTGCTGCCCCTCCTTGCGCCTGGCACCGCGGGACATGCGCGCTCTGGGAGGCTGCGGGGCTCCGTGCTTGGTTATTGCCTCTCAGAGATGAGCGGGGATGCTTGGCCAGATAACGGCAGGATTCCTGGCAGGATCCGGCCTGGGTGTTCTGGGGCCCATGGACGTGGGGTGGGGTGCCCCGCCCTCAAAGCAGCAGCAAGGCGTCTGTTTCGCTGAACATTCGCTGCTGAGGCGGAGCGTGCAGCAGCCGTGCCCCGAGTCTGAGTGCAGGACAGAGCTGGGATCTGAGCCCCAGATCCCGAACCTCCGATTCAGAGCCAGCTTTCCCCGCCAGTGGAGTGCTTCTTTCCCAGAAGACGAGAGCACGCATGCATGGGAAGAGGGGGGCAGGAAGCCCACAGACTGCTGCCCGCCCGTGCTCTTCCGGCCCTGTGGCCTCCCTCAGCGCTCCGTGGCGCCTGCTTTTCTCCTGATGCCAGCGGGGGCTCGGGCACAGCGGCTGGGTGGCCTCGCCCCCCTCCCTGGCGACCCGAAGCCAGCTGCGGCGTGGAGTAGGCAGGCGTGGCCGCGAGCAGGACCAGCGAGCAGGGGAGAGGCGCTCGGGGGGAGCGCCTGGCCAGGGCTTTTGGCGGGTGGTCCAGTAAGCGGAGAGCTGGTGGCCTGGGGAGCCGGACCCTCGGGCCGTTCTCGGGGAGGGAGTGGGCGGCCCATCGGGCAAGTCCTTTGGATGGCCAGCTGGTCAAAGAACTGGGAGCAGAAGGTGCGCCTGCACCGTAGGTAAGTGCGGACGGTCCCCGTTTTTTTCTGGGGGTGAAAATCAAAGTGGATTTTAATGAGCCCCAGAAGTTCTCTCGGAATGTCTTGAATGGGCCACGGAATGGTGAGCGAGGGCCTGCGCAGTTACATGAGACGCACGTTGGGGCAAAAGGGGGAAGCTCTGCCGATGCTTGGACGCCGTCTCAAAGCCCAAGTGCAGACTAGGTCCTGTTCGGAGACGGGCTCAAGGTAGAACAGCCCATCTTGGGAGGCCATGCAGGAACAAGTGGCGCGGCCGTGCTGCCCGAGGGCTGCGCTCAGGGCAGCTGGGGGAGGCGTGGGGGGGGGCAGCGGGCCAGCTTCGCAGGTGGAGGTGGGGGGGGGGGGCAGGCATGTGGAGCTGTGCGAGTTGCTGGAGATGCCGTGGGTGAGCGGGTGGGCGCAGCAGGTCTGGAGGCATGGGTGCGGAGCCGGTCCCGGGTCGCCTGGCCCAGCTGTGGCTGCTGGGAATCCGTGGCCCGGGGCGGGGCACCCGCCTTCCTTGCAGCGCTTGCACAGTGGGGCTGGGATGTGCGAGGTCTCGTCCCCACGGAGCCCAGCCCGTGCCCCTACACCTGGCCCGCCTCTCAGGGTTGTCGGGAGGATGGAACGGGGAGAGCCATGCAGACCGTGGGCCCGCACCGGCTCCTGCCTCCGAGCCAGTGGCCCCCGTGGCCCCTCCTAGGGCCAGCAGCCGGCCGTTCCCTGAGCTGCAGAAGCTGCGGGTGGGGCCCTGGCGGGACGCCCCGCATGAGTGGTGCTGGCTCCGGGGCCTCCCCGTGCTGCGCGTTGTGCGGAAGGTGTACGCAGGGGGTTCTCCTCAGTTCCGAATTCGAGATTGCCCAGAGGAATGGCTTGCAAGAGGGCGCCCTTCGCGTAGCGCAGACTTCCAGGGGGCTTGCGGCGTCCTGCTCTTCATCGAAAGTACCTGCTCCTTTCGCCTCTTCCCTGTCACATGCCAGAGTAAGGCAGCCCAAAGCTGCGCATTTTCTAGCAATGCAATTCAAATCCTGGCTTCCCTTTTCTTTGGTTGTCAGCCATGTTCCTTCACAGCTTCGCTGGAGCCTTCAACTGATTATCCCTTTGCGATTTTGACCCCAAGTAATGCTTGGTGCTCTTACGCATAAACAGAACATGCCAGACACAAAATCAAAAGTGAGGCAGAACCTCACTGCAAACTGGCATTGCTGCCTTCGCCTTGAGAGGTGGACCGGGGAGCCCCTTTACGCTGATCTGTGGAACACCGAAATGAGTGCTCTGCGCACAGCAAAACGGGCCAGATGCGCACGCGGCCTTGCGAGGCTGTGGCGATGGCCACTGCCTGGAAAGGGCCTTCCATCCCGATAGAGAAAAGGCAGTGGAGTTCGCGGGTGGGACTGCCGCCTCCTGAATGCCGGATGCTACTCTGCTGATGACCGGGGGCCTCGTTCCCGGATGGCCCACTTGGCCAGATTCCAGACCTTGGTGCGCTGCTTGGCCCGATCCAGCCTTAGTGTGCTCACCCCGCGTGCCGGACAGGTAGAGTCCCCACTTCATTTAAAGCAGGTCACGCCTCAGAGGAACGTGTTCGTTCTGTGCCACCCGGCTGTGATTGTCCTACCCGGGACCAAGTCCACCTGGTCGGTTGCTCAGCACGGGACAGATTGCCTGGATGGCGAAGGGGGTCCTGCTTGCTTCCCCCTGTGGGACTGGGGAAAGGGCCAGCCTGTGCCCAGGTGCTGCATGCACGGGCCCTGCTCCCTGGGGCCGGTCCGTAGGTGCCGTGGAGGAAGGGGCCCCCCGTGCATTGCTAGGGCAGCGAGGGACCGCGTGTCTGTCTGCCGGCTTTCAAATGGGCCTTGCTGGACAAGACAGCAGAGGGATCCAGGTTGCTCATGTTCCTCGAGGGCCAGGTGGCAGAGGGATTTTCCGGGATGTTGGCGTGAAGCCGGACAATAACATTCCCCCGATCTGCATCCATTTCAGATAAAGCGGCCTTACTTTCACGTTAAGCCCCTGGAGAAAACGCAGCTGAAGAACTGGAAGGAGTACTTGGACTTTGAGATCGAGAACGGGACGCACGAGCGAGTGGTGGTCCTCTTCGAGCGCTGTGTGATCTCCTGTGCCCTCTATGAGGAGTTCTGGATCAAGGTACGGGGCGCTCCTCCCACGCACGGCTCTCGCCCTTTGCAAACATTGATGATCAGTGACTAACCGTCTGTACTCTTGTTTGAATGTTGTTCATGTATAACTATATCTGTTGCATTAGGAGATGGTCTGCTTGCAACCAGATTTGACAGCTGCATATGCCAACTTCGTTGCCTCTCTTCGTCCCTCCTTACAGAAACTAGTCTAATGATTCAATAAAGGTGCTGAGTGGGTTTAAACACAAGAATTTTATAGTTCTCTCAAGTATTTAGCCGCCCCGAGTCAGCTGGGAATCATCCAGCGCCTGCTCTGTCTTCAAATGCAGTATGCCAAGTACATGGAGAGCCACAGCATCGAGGGGGTGAGGCACGTCTACAGCCGCGCCTGCACGATCCACCTCTCCAAGAAGCCGATGGTGCACCTGCTCTGGGCCGCCTTCGAGGAGCAGCAAGGTGCGGCGGGGGGCCCGTGCGGCGGGGACGGGGCGGGGGGCCCGGGAGGCGGGGGCCCGGGAGGCGGGGGCCCGTGGCGCAGGCGGCCCGGGCTGTGGTTCCCGCTCGGCCGTGGGGCCGGCGGGGAGGCCGGGGGCCGGTCGGGCTCAGCGCAGCCTCCCCCCTGGGGCTGCGGGGGGGGGGGGGGGGGGGGGGAGGTTGAGAGCAGCAGCAGCAGCAGCAGCAGGAGGATGTAAGCCGCTGGGCGTTCTTCAGAGGGAAAGGGCGGGATATACATCTAATAAACAATAGACAAAACGGCCGGCTTGAGAAGTGTGCCAGCCGGCGTGTGTTCTGCCCCTGCTCTTGGGCCCTGCCGCCTGTGGTTGCGTTCTCGGGGCTGGGGACGAGGCTCGGCAGAGCCCACGAGGCACCCGGGGCACATTTTGGCGCGTGGGAGCGCTGGCTTGGGGCAGCCTTGGCAGGCGGTGGGCACGGCTGGCAGAAAAGCGTTTCCCGGAGGGTGCGAGGACGTTCTTGCAACGGACAGCCTAACTCCGTGCGGTGGTCCTGGTCACACCACCCTCCTGGCCTTCCCCCGAGATTTTAGGGTCTTGCGCAGAAGCCTTTCCACAAGGCTCTGTTGCAGACCCACACTGCAGCCTGCACCAGCCTGGTTGATTCCCTGGATGCTCTTGACAGTGCGGTTGCAGGAAGAATTCATCACGTGTAGAATGTGAATTCTTCAGGGATTTTGGAGGGCAGGACCTGGTAGCAAGATGTAGGCCAGGGTGCACTGCTGTATTGCCTGTCTGAAACTTGGAACGCAGATCCCAGAGCAGTGTGAAATCTGCGAGCTGGCCACCAACTCCCTGGACTGTGCTGCTCTTCCTCCAGCCATGCTGTGGCCGGGCTAAGAGGCCACCCTCCACCTCCGCGCGGGTGTGCTGGCACGCTCGCAGCGAGCCAGAACCTCTTCCTCCTGCCCTCTTGGGATGGGGGAGTGTGGTCTGTGCAGAGCTCTGCCCTTCCTTCCGTGGACAGTCGGGAGGGGCAGCTGGGCGTCTTGGCAGAGGCTGCCAGCTGGTGGGAGGAGAACTGCCCGTGTGCCCATGGCGCACTCGACGGGTGTTGTGCGGGACGGACCCTCGAGGGCCCTGCCCGGCTTCGTTCCGTAGGGTGCGCCTGCTCGCGACTCCCCTCCCCCCCCAGCATGTGCTCTGTCCTGTTTTAGGGAATATCAATGAAGCGAGAAGAATTCTGAAGACATTTGAGGAGAATGTTTCTGGGCTGGCCATGATCCGCCTACGGAGAGTCAGCTTGGAACGAAGGCACGGAAACATGGAAGAGGCCGAGCACTTGCTCCAGGAAGCTGTGAGGAATGCGAAATCGAGCTACGAGGCCTCCTTCTTTGCCGTCAAGCTTGCTCGGCACCTTTTCAAGATCCAGAAGAGCCTCCTGAAAGCCAGGAAGGTCCTCATGGAGGCCATTGAAAGAGACAGGGTGGGTACCTCCTGGGGGCGGCTCCTCCGCAGGGGGGCGGGGGCCTCATAGCCGGCAACCGTGATGACCGCTCTTGACTCTGCAGTGAACATCGCTGTGACATGGAGACACCAGTCCCTCTAAACTGACGTTGCCAAGCGCCACCAAGCCGCGGGCTTCCCTTTGAGGAAGTGGCTGCCACAGGCGTGGGCAGAGCCGGGCTCTGAAGGTGTGGGGTGCTGGGCGCTGTGGGACCTGGCGCAGGTGGCCCGGGCCAGCCGTCCAGTGAGCGGCCGTGTGCGTTTTCTGTAGGACAACCCCAAGCTGTACCTCAACCTGCTGGAAATCGAGTACAGCGGAGACCTGAAGCAGAACGAGGAGCACATCACGGAGTGCTTTGACAAAGCCATCCGAGGAACGCTGCCCATCAAAATGAGGATCATCTTCTCTCAGCGGAAGGTGGAGTTTCTGGAAGACTTTGGCCTGGATGTGAACAAGTAAGGCTTCACGTGGGGCTGTGTCAGCACCGGGGCGAGCGCTCGCTCTCCAGCCGGGGCCGGCCCAAACATCTGTTCGTGGCAGCGGGTTGCGGCAGGCACGATAGAAAGGTGCCTGCAGAAATCCTGGTCCGGGCTTTTTCGCTTTGCTTCCACTCCCGAGTGCAGGTTCCAGCCAACCGGAAGCAGGCGGCTCCGCTTTCGTGCGTGTGGCGGGTTTCTGGAGCTCGCCTCTGGGTCTGATGGAGGTGAAATCCAGTTAAACGTTTTTGCCTGTTGAGCACATTTCTTAGCAGGAGTGCCGGCCGAGAGAAGAGAGCGGAAGGACGTTCCATTGTGTGGGCACACGCTGCTCAACTCTGCCCTGTTACTCTTTCCAGCTTTCTATTTAAAAATCTGGAGGCGCTAAATTGGAAGTAAAGCAGCCTGCCTGTAAAAATGCATTATTTAGGCTTGCCCAGAGTGGGACGAGGGAAGGGCTAACCTGCTGTCGTTTCCTTTTGCCAGGCTTTTGGATGCCTATGAAGAACACCAGGCCCTTCTGAAGGAGCAAGAGTGCTTGAAGAGGAAGGCAGAAAACGGGTATGGCTGCTTTCATGCAGCGGGGAGGGGAGGGCTGGGGCGCTTCCCCAAGTACCTGGGCCAGGACTGGCATCGCCCAGGCAGCCTGGCCCCCCGAGGAACTTCCAGAAAAAAGCCCCATGCTCATGAGAGGATGGGGTGGCCCTCTGCTGTGTGGTGCTGTTTGACTGTGAGGAGGGGAGAGTCTGACGCAGTACGGCCACAGAGATTCTGCGTTTTAGTAAAAATTGAGCCAAAGTGAGTGGGGAGACTCTTACGTGTCCCCATGAGTGTGGGGGGGTCTCTTTTGTGCCCCTCACCTGTAGGCTGTTGAAAAATTTTTAACAGGCAGAAACACCCTGGTGCTCCACTTCCGATCCCCCCACTTGTGCAGTGTAACTGCTTGGGGGCTTCCTGCCCCATTCACATAGGGAGCAGCACTTCAGTCTGTGAACTGAAATGCACAGAATGTCCAGGGCAAATGTTTGGGGGCTTTTGGACTCCTGGGGCTGTAGCAGCTCAAGGGGATTCCCCAGCCTTTCAGCTGCCACAGCTTCGGGGCCCTCTTGGAATTAAGGGCTTGGTACCCTTTTATGGGTGGTTTGGTTGACAAAAGAGCAGCAGCAGCTGGTTTTACATTTGAAAGCCTCTAAATTGACAGGAGTGAACAAATTTTGCACCCTTAGCTGGCAGATGATGTTTATTTGGATGTAAGCTTGCAGTTGAGCCACCTGTTCAACCAGCTTACAATGAATCAGAAAGAATGTTGGAAGCGGTTAAAACACAAAAAGTATTAGCTCCATAAAAACCCCATGGAGCGAGCTGTAAAAATCAGGGTAAGCCACAGGAAGGAATACAAGCCTGACTCCAGGCTGTGCTAGAAAGCATGTGGCTCCCGGCAGACCTGGAGCAAGCTCCCCTGGGCAAGGATGCCACGAACAGAGTGGCAAGGCCAAGAACGTCATCTCTCAGGCCACCACCTCCGGTTTCCAAGGGGAAGGGGCTTTGCAGGTGGCCGTTGGCTGGGGCCACCCCACGTAGGGAAGAGGGAACCGCCTTTGCTGCGCCTGCCGGGCCCTCCTGGGCTCCGTCTCGGTTATTCTAGACAGGTGCAAGACGCTCCGGTCGCTCTTGCTCAGCCCACGTGCAGGAGGCGTTTCCCATCTCCAGGACCGGGCTGCCCTCCGAGGTTTCCCTCTGGGGAAGGCGCTGGGTCCTGAAGATGCAGAAGCCCTCCGTATCCTGCACTTCTCAAGCGAGTGCTCGTGGTCGATGGTCCAGTAGCGGCACCAGATGGCGCCTGGTCCTCGGCTCCGTCGACCCCGTTCATGGAGGTGCTCCCCAGAGCAGGACGGCCCGGCCCGTGTGCCGCTGGCTGTGCCCACGCCAGCCGGGCATCCCTTCCCAGTGAGGGCAGGGCTTGTGCCAGGAGTGCCGGGCTCTGCAGCACGGTGCGTTTCATTTGCAGCTGCGAAGAGCCGGATGAGAAGCGGGCCCACCCCGACGAGGCAGCCCTCGCGGTGGGGCAGATGGCGGACGGGGACATGCAGGCGAACCAGGCCGCCTACAATTACAACGCCTGGTACCAGGTAAGCCCCGTTGCCCAGCACACCCTGGGGGAACCCGCACGGCGAGGGCGAGGGCAGTGCAGAAGGGAAGCGGGGCGGGGGTGGGCGGCCGTGACGGTTGCCGCGAGGGTCACTCTCGAGGTGGGAGGGCTCCCAGGTGGGAGATCTCGGCTCTCAGGAGACGCTTCCGTGGCGAGGCGATCTAGCGTCGTCCTGCTGATTCTGCGGCTTGCTAACGTGCGCCACTCTTTCCCTCCTAGTACAACTACCCAAACGCATGGAATTACGGGCAATACTATCAGTCATCTTCAACCTGAGCAGAGGAGCCCGGCCTGAGAGAGAAGTGGGGTGTGGAAGTGTTTTGTTAGGGGTTTTTTAAAAATTGGGGATGTGAACAAACTGTCATGTGATCCTTTGTCTTTCCCGCATGTACAATGAACTGATATTCACAGGATCTTTGTGACAAATTCATGTGTTGGTATGTTGCTGTACACCAGTCTAGCAGGAATTTGATTGTCCTGCTACTAAAATTATAAAAAATACATGGGGATATTTTTAGTTCACATTTCATCAGGAGCGTCAGTTTCCAAGCCCATACTGGTTTTTAGACTTGCCAAACTGAAGATCTGCCTAGGCTGGCAAGAGCATGCCCACCCACTCCTGGGAAGTGCCCCCCCTTCCCATTCTGCAGGAAGGCCCAGGGACCCCTTGGGAGGCCCTTCAGCGCAGCCCCTCGCCCTGGTCCGTGTGGTCTCCTCTGTCTACATGTGCTGTGTCTAAGCTTTAAAAAAGTGGGGATGTATCACGTAGGGGCATCCCTCTGGATTTAAGAAAAATGGCTGAAATGAAGTGTCTTGCTAAACCATGATGTGTTTGGGGTGGATTTTGTATTGAAATTTTCATGTATGAGTTTAGAATTTGTTTTAAGTCTTTTTGTAATAAAACCAAGTTGTGCAAGCTTTGCCAGAGCAAAGTTTCTGTTTTCCCGATCGGTAGGAGGGGATCCTTAAGCCTGTTTTCAGATGGCTGCACATTACCGCCTGCCTCTAGTTTTGATTTTGGAGTGCTACCACCGAGCGTGTTACTCTCGAGTCAAACACTGGAAAAGGCTCTTTCCTGAGGGGGAAACTCCCAGAAGGGTGCATAAATACGGACCCCGTTGCCTACGACCCAAATGCCCAGAGCTGTGGTTCAGGGGCAGCTCAGGGCGTGACGCAGCCTGGGAACCGGGCTTGTGCGTCTGCAGCCAAATCACGGCAGGAGGGAACTCCGTGGAGAGCAGCTGAGCACAGCTCGGCGCTGGCCCTCCCTTCCCTTCAGCAGCAGGGCTCTGGGCAGTTCCCGAAACACAGAAGTCGGGGGCAGCCAGTCGCGTACAAACCAGTCTTTAGTTATACTGATGCCAAGCAGCAATTACAAAGGCTCCCTGTATCAGATACAAGGCCACGCGTGGGTTTCCTGCACCGAAGAGCATCTTCTGTTATCCAGGATGGAAGAGCAGAGAGATCCTCATTCGATATCAACCAGTTCAACTTCAAAGAAAAGTTTTGCATTTGGTGGAATCCTGAGGAGTAGAAGTTAAAGAATTTCTTCCGCAGCAGAGAGGGTGTATTTTGCAAATACACTCAAGCACCAGGGCAGCTCCCCCCACTTCAAGTGGCCTGAACAATTTGGGCTTACCTGAACGGGGAAGCAAAGAGCAAGTACCAGTCTCAATCCAGCAGGGAAGAGCGGAGCGGTCGCTCACTGCACTTACTTTCCCCATGCTGAATTTGGAAGACTCCCCCTCCTCCATCTCTGGCAGCCCCCTCAAAATGCTTCCCCCCAAGCATGGATGGCTCCTCCGGAAACAGCCACTTCCTGTTGCGTTTGGCGCTCGTGGGGTTCTGACATTTCTCACCCCTAGCAAACAATGCTGCCGCTTGATTACAGCAGATCAAAAAACAGGTATTTTTAGCATGGAAGCCGAACCAAGAATATCCTGTCCCCTCCGCACGTGGCTTTCCTCCTCTTGCACCTGTTGCATTTTCCGAGCGTTTGGCCAGCAATGCGACCGCAGCCACGCGGAGAGCGCAGGACTGTGGGCCGCGCCGCTCCAAGCGATGCCGCCTCTGCGTGGCCCTCATTCTGAACCGGGGCCGGGCCGGGCCGCCTGCTACGGAGGCTCCTGCCCCACCCGCGGCGCGCAAGAACCCCTCCGAGGGTGCCGGCTGGGGCCCCGCGGCTGGGCTGGGGCAAGGAGAGCAGGCGCCCTCCTCCGAAAAGACCCCCCACGCCCCTCCCTCCCGGGCTCGGCACCGGGCACCACCGAGCAGCAAGCGGCACTAGGATACTTGGCATCTGGCTGCCCTTTCTTCCCGTAAGCCCATTCCGGCTCAATTTCCAGGTGAGCCTTTTCTCCTTTGCTCATGGTCAGAAGCGCTTCGTCCCACTGAAACGTTTGAAAAGCACACGTTAGTAACGAGAAAGGCATCCAGAGAGGCCACACGCAGAACCAGCGTGCAAACGGCAGGTGTGCCGAGTGGGGCCTGGGAGCTCTGAGAGCCAGGCACCATTTGGCCCTAAGGCCGGGGTGACTGGGCTCTGCCTACCTTGCAGGGTTGTTGTGAGGACAAAATGAAGCGAAGGGAGGAGGGGAGTTGGAAGGGGCCCATCAAGCCACCATAGTGGTCATCCACCACCACCCTTCCAGCTTAGCGAAAGCATAGCTATGCAGGCCGTAAACAGAAACAGGCTTGGGCTGAAGAGCAGAAGGAATCTGCAATCTGCCCCAGGTTCCTCGCAGGGCTGACCTGGACCTGCCAGTTCCTGCTGCTGCTCTCTGCAGCTTCAGGATTTTCCTACCGGAGCTTCGGCATCTTTAAAAAGAAGCATACCATCTTTCTTTTATTCAGAATGGGACAGTCAGGAATTTTTAGAAGCTTCAGCTTTAAAATATACGAAGCATCCTGGCACGTGCTCAGAAGCAAAACGGTCTTTACAGAATATCTTAAAGAGCTAAAGGAATTCTTCTGAAATTTGGAAAACCCTCTGCAAGATATACGAACTGCCACCACCCAAGCGGGTGCGATGGGGCCGCAGCCCAAGGCCGGTGGCCAAGGGCACGCGGCTGCTTGGGGCCAGGCTGGGCCAGTGGCTCTGCTGGTTTATTCTGCGCGGGCCCACTGTCTTTTATTCTGATGTCTGTATGGAGCCAGAGGCTTGTGCAACTGGGCTCTGTTTTAATTACAAAGCACCCTAATCTCACTTGCTAGTTTTAAATTGCCATGGGCCTTCCTGGGGAGCCTGGGGGCGCCCCCATTGGGGTGGTTATGGGCAAGGGAAGATATGGCACTGGGGGTTAACGTGTCATTACAGACGCCGTCCGGTTTCTCCTCCAACTGGAAGATCTCAGGCAGGGGCATCACCCGTCCCGCCGGCTTGGTGCTGCTGCTGTTGAATGCCCGGTCGGTCCAAAACAAACCATTTCTCATCCACGATTTAGTCGTGGATGAAGAGGCCGACTGGCATGTATTACTGAGACCTGGGCAGGAGAACTGGGGGCACGGTGCTCACCCACTGGGGTATCTGGTGCGGCACCAACCTCACCTTGAGGGTAGGGGAAGGGGGGTGGCCCTAATTTATCGAGATTCAAGTTCTGTCACAGGGCTTCCTGCCTGTTTAAGGCATGGAGTGTTGGTACTTGGTGCGGTGCGGTCGACACAGATTGGGGATTCTGTTGGTGCACCATGCGCCCTTCTGCCCAACAGGCCCCCTGCCCGAGCTGACGGCGCTCGTCTCGAACCTGGTGCTGAGGACGCCTGGGATGCTGGTCCTGGGGGACTTCAATCTCCACACCGAGACCATTCTGACTGGGGTGGCTCAGGACTTCATGGCCACCCTGACAGCCATGGGGCTGTCTCAACACGTCACTGGCCCAGCGCATGAAAGAGGCCACACTCTAGACCTGGTTTTCTCGACGGGGCAGGAAGGTGGGGATCTGGAAGTGAGGGATTTGGCTCTAACCCCTTTGTCATGGTCAGATCACTTCCTCGTGAGGTTTGAACTCGGGGCCAGGTTCTCCCTTCAGAAGGGTGCGGGCCCTATTTAAAGGGTCCATCCCCAGAGTCTTACGGATTCCTGAGGACTCTGGGGGATTTTCTGGTTGATAGGGCTGGTGCTCCTGTCGATGCCCTGGCCCATTTATGGAACAGGGAAATGACCGGGGCACCTGACCCCCGGCTCAGCTAAAACGTGCAACTCCGGGGCACTAGTTGCTCTCTTCCCTCCACCCTGGTGAGCAGCAAAGGCCACTCCAGGTAGCTCTGAAGCCAGAACTGCCAAGGGCAGGCAGGAAAATGGATCCTGGTGGGCCTCCTACGTTGCTGCTCCCCCACAGGCCAGAGCGAGGCCAGGGCAGCCGGGCAACATGCTTCAGCCTCTCCCCCCGGGAGGAATTCGGGCAGGTGGCCTGACAGCTTCCTGGCAGGAGCCGTTTTCTTGGTCGGGGAAACTGACAAACACCAGCTGCACCCACCCATCCCGGCACACTTACGCCTCGGATCACTTTTCCAGCGCCGACTTTAAAGCTCAACGGTTTCGATGCTTTCTTCTTCTTCGAACCTGAAAAGGGCATTTACTCACGAACCCTCCAGACAGAAGGCACAGCAACGTCTTCAAGTGTCTATAAATCCCCCCTCGAAGTGCACTGTTTGCTTAACCCTCTGGAACAAGGAGTTAGCCCACTTCTGAAAAGCAACCACCTTGGCAGGACTGGCACAATTCTAGCCCAGGAGAACGTTCCCCGGAGTACCGACAGCAGTCACGCTGCAAGGTCTCAGGAGAGAATTCGGCAAAGCTGCTCTGACCATCACTGAAGGGCGGTGGAACCCCCACGGGCCCCGATGCCAAGGAGCAGGCTTCCGGGCCATGGCTCAGCTTGAGGAGCACCGCAGTCCTCTGCCTGCCAGAAAAACCCATGCCTCCCAACAAGGCACGCTCCAAAAGCACCCACATAGCCCCTGCAGAACCGGCTGCGTGCAGGAAACACTCTTTGCGGTGCTCGCTGACTTCTGAGAGGGTGCTCACCAGGCCCTGGGCAGCCCTCGCTTGTCCAAGCGTGGATAAACCAGGGAAACAACCTCCCCGCACTCAAAAAGGCAAATACCAAGCCAAGAAGGCTGCTCACGGAGACCCTCTCAGCTCCCTCCCTCCCTCCAAGCAGCTTGTATCAGCCTGCTGGATCTGCTCACATGGGGCACGTCGCGGAAAAATACATGTGAAGAGCACCTTCTGGCACAGAGAAGGACATGGGAAGGCAGCTTCTAGGAGCCTCTTATGGGCACCTCCACTGAGGTCGCAGCAGAGGGCTGGACAGCCCACTCTTGTGATCTCAGCCCTCTCTCTGACAGACGATCCAGTCCCGCTGAGCCAAAAGAGCCAACAATCGCAGTGGGGAGGATGTGCCCCAAGCCGTGGCCTGTCGGATCGTCTCTTGGGCACAGAATCCACAGCCCAGGGCTCGGAGTGCTGCATGAACACCCCACTCGCTGCATGAAAGGACCGTGTCCCTCCACCCTGAACGGACGATGGGGACATGCTGGGTGGGCTCCTTCTCTGCAGCAGGCGCGACCGTTTTGGGGACGGTGCTTCTGCTCCACCATTTTGCCTTCGGCACAACCGCTCGGGCTTTCCGGCATTCCACCGCCGCTGCGCACGCCACTAATTTACTTACTGGCCTGAACGTTGCTGTCAAAGATGGTCCCGTCTTGCAGCTTCCCTGTGTACCAGCAGTGGACAATGTCACCCTTTTTGGGAAAGTTGATTTTATCTCCCTTTTTCAGAACTGACTTTGTATATTTTGGGGGAGCCTGGATTGGGAAGGAGAAGAAACGCAACCATTATTCATTTCCTCACTGCTCCAAAGCTACAGAAGTTGACCAAGTTGCGCATAACAGATGCGCGTAAGTCCTGAGGGCAGGCCAAAGATGCTATTTCACTGAAGACGCACTCCATCTGGCTGCGGCTGCGCACACTGGGAAACACGGCGGCGAAGGCCGCCACGCCGGGCGACCTGGAACGGCTCCCATGGCGCATCTTTCCAGGCAGAAACGCACGAGATCACGCCCAGACCGAGGTGCAGCCAGCCCAGTCCTCCGCTCGCACACACAGCGGCCAGCCGGCAAGTGGGACCAGAGCGCAACCGCCCCCCCCAGCGGTGCCACAGGCAGGCTGCCCCCACCCTCCAAAGGCTGCAGCCAGCCATCGCGGCCAGTGGCCAGTGCGAGCCTGCCCCCCCAGGAAGCCACCCGGCCCTCGTTCAGGCCAGCCAGACCAGCGGCCTCCACCACATGCCCAGGAAGCGAACCCCGCCATTTAACCGGGCGTCCTAGGGAGGGCCTTGCCTTGACTCCTGCAGGAAGCAGCTGCACGGGGTGACCCCCTCGGGTGCCGGGATTGTGCCAAGGAAGCAAGGCCCCCCGCCCCCCCTCCCCACGTGGTGGGTAATTCTGCCCCCCCATCACGGCCGCCCTGACTTGCCTCTTCCCTGAGCGAGTTCGTCTCACTTGCCGCCCCGGCCTCTGCGAGCCCCTTTCCCTACCTTTCCAGCTCTGCCGCATCCTTTTCAGGCGAGGGGAACAAAAGCACACGCCACTCCCAGCGCGGCTGCACCAGGAATTGGCACCAGAACGTCGCCAGCGGCCGCCAGGCCGGCGCTTTTCCTAGCCGTGTCCCTTTCTCTGAGCAGCCGCGGCACATGGGCTGCGCTCGGCGCCGAGCTCCCGCGCGCCCCGGGGGCCCCCGCCAAGCCGGGCGCGCACGCCTCGCGCCCCCGCCCAGGCCCCGGGGGAGGGCCACCACCGGCACGCCGGGGCTGCTCGGGGCGAGACAAGAACCGGCAGCTCGGCCCCGCCGCTGCGACCTCAGCAGTGCATGGCCGGCGGGGGGAGCGGGTCCCCAGGGGCCCCCCGCCCGCCCCCCCCGAGGCGCCCCCACCTCAGCGGCCGCCTCCTCGGGCCTCGCCTCCTTGCGCTTGCCCTCCTCGGCCGCGGCGCCTCTCGCCTCCTCGGGGGCGTCCTCCGCGCTCTCGGTGCCTCTGAAGCTCTGCGGAGAGGCGCGTCCGTGAGCGGCGCTCCCCGCGCCCGCGGCCCCCGGCCCCAAGGGGCGCCCGGCGGCCCTGCGGGGACCCGGCAACACGCACGCGCGCAGCCGGGAGCAGCGCCGCCCGGGCCCCAAGGGAGGGCCTGCGCGGGGGGCGGCCAGGCACCTCCTCGCCGCGGAGGCCCGGCGCCCGGCCCCACTCGGCCCGGCCCGCTCCGGGGCCCGCCCACCGACCTGCGTCTCGAAGAGGCGCTCGTAGGCGGCGACGAGCTGCGCCTTGCTGGCCGCCTTGGCCACGTTCTTCTCCTGGCCCAGCAGCCGGTGCTCCGCG